TTTTTTAATGCCTATGAAGACTATCCTATCGCCAAATTGCGACGTGCGTCGTGCGGGGGCGTCAATGGGCGAGAGCGAGTGTGAAGCAACCCTCATCACGCATTCCAGTTAGCACCGTCTCCGCAGGCCTGCAGCGCCCGCCGGGGTTCAGGGATTCCAGGCGCGTCTGAGCTTCCCTGTGGCGTCCGCTCCCGCGCCCCTCCACGCCGCGCTCCACGCCCCGCTCCACGCCCCGCTCCATCGCCCCGCTCCACGCCCCGCTCCACGCCCGCTCCACGCCCGCCGTTCCACGCCCCGCGCCACGCCCCGCTCCACGCCCCGCTCCACGCCCGCTCCACGCCGCCCGCTCCACGCCCCGCTCCCACGCCCCGCTCCACGCCCCGCCCTCCACGCCCGCTCCACGCCCCGCGTCCACGCCCGCGTCCACGCCCCGCTCCACGCCCGCTCTCCACGCCCGCGCTCCACGCCCGCTCCACGCCCCGCTCCGACGCCGCTCACGCCCCGCTCCACGCCCCGCTCCACGCCCGCCCACGCCCCGCTCACGGCCCCGCTCCACGCCCCGCTCACGCCCCGCTCCACCCGTTCCACCGCTCCACGCCCGCTCCACTCCCGCGCTCCACGCCCCGCTCCACGCCTCGCTCCACCGCCCGCTCCACGCCCCGCTCACGCCCCGCTCCACGCCCCGCCTCCACGCCCCGCTCCACGCCCCGCTCCACGCCCCGCTCCACCCGCCCCGCTCCACGCGCCCCGCTCACGCCCCGCTCCACGCCCCGCTCCTACGGCCCCCGCCCTCCACGCCGCCGCTCCACGCCGCGGCTCCACGCCCCGCTCCACGCCCCGATCCACGCCCCGCTCCACGCCCCGCTCCACGTCCCCGCCTCCCAGCCCCGCTCCACGCCGCTCCCACGCCCTTCCTCGCCAGCCGACGCCAGCCCAGCCCCGCCCCGCCTCGCCGCCCTGCCCGCTCCACCCGGCCCGCCGCGTCCTGCCGCGCTACGCCCCGCTAGCCCCGCCCCGCCGAGACCCTTCGCTTCCGGCGTCCGCCCTTCAAGGGCGGGCGCCAGGTCACACGCTTCCTTCGCTCGGAGGAGCCGAGGAACGCACGCGGGCGCTGCGCAGTCTAGACTGGAGGATGTTAAAAAAAATCCGCAGCAATTTAGGGGGCAGCTTACCCGGGCTTGTGTATTAATAGTGTCTAATACATTAAATCTACTTTTTCTGATGTTGCTGCAAAATCTAAGGAAAAACATTTTAATAAACATAATATTGTTATTAAAAATTGTGTGTTAGAGAGATTTGTTCGCCCAATATTCTGTATTATTGATGATAGATGTATGCCTCGCACCCTATTCACCACTTCACCCTCCGTTTTCGTAGTGCCTTCATCCCACGTTTACTATTCGTACAACATAATTATTAATCTTGTTTGATAGCAATATTTTAGTGCAACCCTGGGAGTTAATGAAGTTAACTGCACAAGGTTGCGAGCCCGCCAGTTTTCTCCGTCGCAAAATAATAAATGTTCCATGTTTGCTGGCAAAAAACGGTTGTCTTCTAAAGTACATTTAACTTCTTCTCTTTGAATTAGGCGCTTCATGCAGTATTTCCATTTTCTCGACTCTGTCCTGTGAGATTGCTTTCCCCGCGCATCGATCTTCGAGATTCTGCGCGGCGTCTCCGCCTTCGTCGCAGTCACCAGCTCACCTTCCCCTGCAGAGGAGAGGAGCCCTTCCGATTAATTGCGCCGTTTCTATTCCTCGGCTGCGCGCCGCTTCCACTGCCTCCATCGCCCCTCCGCTTTCCTCCAGAGCACCCAGCATTCTTAACCGATCTCCATGGATGAGCCACCAAGCCTCCACCCTCCTTCCTTTACCAGCGCCGTCTACCCCCACTACTTTGCTACCCGAAATGTCTAAATGTCCCGTTTGATGCGCCATCCTTGGACCACCTGAAGTGGCCACCGCCACCGCCACGCCACCGCCGTCGCCACTGGCTCAACTTGGGCTCCCGCGGGCGGCGAAGCACAGGAGCTTTTTCTTCCCAAACGGCTCCCGCAAGCGCCGCTATGCGAACCGCAATTACCCCGGATTATTCGGCGCCCTCCCGCAGCGTGCGCGGCCGCGTGCGCCAGTGCGCCGCCGCCACCAGCCTCCCCGCCGCCCCCGGCGCCGCCGGCCGCAGCAGCCTCCACCTCCTGGCGGCGCCTGCGGCCCGCGCCGCCCACGCCCGCGCGTCCCGGAGGCTGCCCGGCCCTGCCCGGCCCTGCCCGAAATCGATATACCCCTCCAGCACCACCGCACCACCGCACCACCGCACCAGCCGGGACGCGGAACTCTGGCGCTCGTGGCAAAGTTTGGGGACTGCTTTTTCTCACGATTGGGACTTGCTATTCACAATGCTGTTTCCAAAATGTTTTTTTTTTATCACAAGATTAAGCTTAACAAAGATATTTATAATTGTGTTTAACATGGAAGATAGAAAAATACTTCTATCTTCAATATTATTGTTGTAGGAAGACGCCCAAAAAATTTCACAGTTCTAATTTGCAAAAATTGAGAATTTCAACAAACGTTTAACGTTTTTTGTGCTATCACAGGGCAAAGTTTGATCAAAACCTTTGTTACTATTTTTGAGAAAATTTTGAAAATGTTTTGGAAATTCCATGTAAAGTACCCTCAAAAGTCAAAACATCCTTTTGAACCTCCCAAAGGCTCAAGTTCAGTCAGATCGATTGGGGAATATCAATTTTGAAAATAAATCCGCCGAATGATATAGGCGCTTACGTTGATCGCAGACGGGCAGAGACAGACAAAGAGACTTATATACAGACAGACAGACCGCAGACGTTTTTTCATCAATCGATTTTTCGGTAGCAAAGACACACAAACCATGGATTATGGAATTTTTATCCTTATTTAGCAATACATTTTAGCTACTTTTTCGTTACCAGGACCCGGAAGAAAGAGCTATACTGAAATTCGCCTTTTTCCGGCGCACTATTCCATAACTTCCTCTTCTTACTATGTACCTTCGTATGGGCGAGAATGTAAAAAAAACACATGAAACACCAATTCTTAGAACAAATTAGATGAAATTGGGGTATTTTGTACAACTTTCATACACCAATAAATCATAATATTATTTCAAGGATAATATGCATATAAATTTGAAATAAAATTTCATTTACGAAAATTATTTTTCATCTACGGGATAAAATGGCCGATACTCGCAATATTGTATTTAAATTTACATGAAATTCTTTAATATATATTTTTAATTTAGTATATTTCATATTGTAATTAATATACATTAGGATCATTAATAACTTCAGGGCCTGTGATCATCCAATTTTAAAACGTTCCTAGTTCTCTACCGCCCTTGTTCTATTTCTTATTACGTGGCTGCATTCAATAGAAATTATCGTCATGGTACAGCTTCATTATAGAACATATTTTATAAAAATTACAGCCATGGTCACAAATCAAGTAAAGAAAGTAAGTAATTATTTGTCATTGTTTTAGTACATACTTCGTTAAATTTTGTATATTCGGATGACAGTACCAAGGCGACCCGTGATGATATGGGTGCAACCCTCAACGTCAGGGCCAAATCCTAAACCTAATGTAGATCGTGAGTCAGTTAAACATGGAATTAACACAGACCCAAGCAAGAGAAAAGCAGAAATGATAACTGCATTATCTTTCCATTAGTTTTCATTCATCGCAGTAGTAGTACCGCGTCAAACTTGATGAAAAAGATATGAATACAGAGTCCAGTTCCATCCCTCGATCCAATTGTCCTAAGCCCGATTGCATTTCGGTCCGGTTTTCCTTGCGAGTACAAAAATGAGATCGCTCAGATTTCGCAACTTCAAAGATTACTCTTTGCACAGATGCTCCTATTAACTTCGTTCATTTTGTATTACTGTTTTATTATGTCGCCAGGTAGAAAGCTTCATATTTAAGATTTATACCCTAATTAATATTATGTATTCTATGTGCTTCTCCACAGAGAAGAGTTAAGAAGAGCATCTGTCTTTTTTTTAATGTGCAAAGTGAAAATAATTCTAATGATTCTAGTAGATTTGAGGAGTTCTCTCTGTTGGTGCAAATACATATATTAAACATATCTTCATTGCATTCTGCCGTCAACTTATCATAAGTTTGCTTACCTATCTCCCCAAAAAATATAACCCGATTGCATCCTTTTTAGTTTTCCTTATAAGAAAGAGTAAGAAAGATCTCGTCCAGGTTTCACTGCTTCCAAGATTATCCTTTCACTTTCATATTTGATGTACTTGAAAACGAAAAAACGAGAACTTGTCGTTTCAACGTTGTTCATTATGTATAATTCCAATACTGTAATAGCCAGAGAGAGTAAGGGCAGCCTGTAATATTGGAATCAAACTGTACCGAATGTTCTTATTCTAGTGAAATTGATTTCTACGAATATCCTGAGCTGCTCTTAGAAGAAAAGATGCCATGGTCTTCCATTAAAATATGCAAAATTAAAATAAGGATATTTTAGTTAAATAACACACACAATGCCGAAGATTCTGCCTGTTCAATTTGTTCAAGATTTTATCTCAATCGGCGCGAGATCATTTGCGTTACTGATGAATGGAACTTAACCACATTGTTTCCTCTTTCCCGTCCCAAAACACCAATCAGCATGCAATTGGGCTATATTTTCTCAAGTGAAAGTGGATTATTTGGGAAACGGGTGTGAGGGAATCCTGAACGCGAGATGGGGCGATTCTGATTAATAAGTTCCTATTATGTTCTTGACACTTCTTTATTCTTCACTTGTAAATTAAGCTTGTGTTTCAATCCGGTGTACGACGCCCGTTATTACATCATGGTTTCACTACGCAAAATGAATTTGAAATTTTAAAAAAAATGTTAACGTTCTGAATTTCCTTTCGTAATACAGTACTGTTATATGCGCCTGAAAAGCCACTCGTAATGATTAGTGTCTTTAAACTCCGGTGTCTGTTACAGGCAGCAGAAACAGATGAGATTTGGGGATGGGTTGGAGTAAGTGCACTTAATCTATTAAATCATTTCTTTTAATTTGAACACTTGGCAACTAAAGCTTTTAAGCTTTTCACCGTTAGCGCAATAAATGATTAGCATTGTACAATCCACATCATATGACAGAGATTTACTTCTTTCAAGAATTTGATCGTTTTGTTAATTGCAATCTTGGCGTCCCCAAGGTCATTTTTCAGATTATTTTGCATGTCGCATCCTTTTTCTGAGGTGTGAGAGTTAGTGTAAGGTTGCTTATATATTACCGATTCTCAATTTGGTGATACGTACTTGTTTTCGGTATTTGTAATGGTCAACTGTATATTTACTGATGCTCTTTTTTATGGAGTTTAGTTTTTTTTTTGTAGGGAAGATATTTCAAGTGTTGGTAAAAGTTCTTTACATCTTGAGGGCTAAGATAATTTCCATTATTTTTTGATAATATGTAGCGTTTCTCGCTGCAACATCTGGCTCTTCATATACTTGATTATCCTTGAGGCCAGAACACTAGATTAAAATAACTGATTGTCCTGGGCATTCCAATTTGTGGCATAGAATATGAATCATATGGATTAATATATTTTATCTTGTTTTTTTAGGAGAAGTTGGAATTACGAAAAATTAGAACGATACACGACCGAAAACACTAAAATCATACTCGGTTGGTTATATACCTTGACTTTTGCGTTTGTTTACAAGCTTCAAACGCGTGTTATTTACTGTTTAACGGCCTAACGACATTAACATTGTTTTACCTCCAATGTCTGCAATCTCCTCTAATTTCTAACTAGTACTAATCATATTATTTATAAGTAATAACCACAAACTTAATTTTCGAATTATATTATTTTTTCATCAGTTACTTCCAAATAATATATAATGATGTAATAATAAGATTATTCAAAAAATTTAAGAGTAAAATGAGCCGTTATTTGTTGTTTTAAATGCAAATATTAATTTAATTTTTAATGAGTATTGTGATCGCATTATAATTAGAAGTAAACCTAAAGCCTTTTAACACTCAAATCTAAGAGGAAAGCAAATTTTATCTTTGATATTCTGTTAAAGTGTGTCAAAAAAAATGTTTTGTCATCTTACAGTTGTCCATTCGATATTGGAGGTCTTGTCCTGTATACCTTTCGAATTGTCAAGTTTCTTCTGACATGTTCTGAAAATATAAGCATATGAAACGTTTGTAGTAATAATATTTGTGAATGTCTCGTAAAAATATGTATCATGTATACGTAAATGTTCTAAAACATAATGTAACTCTTCAATGCTCGTAGATTATTTTGAATTAATTTTAGGAATCGGTTGTGTTGACTTCAGTGATTGACGAGTATGCAACCGAGGCACTATTAGTGATTCGTGGCCCATGACATACACTAAATATGAGCGTCGTTATAGGAATAAACTTAATAATGAAAGATGTAGTCAATATATTTTTATTATGAGACTTCTGATATATGTGTTATATACCCGTAAACACATAACAAAGTCAGACGATGTGATCAAAACATTCTAATATTTCATTTTCAGAGCTAGCCACACTTCTTTATTTAATTAAAATAACTATTTTATTAAAATTAGTTATTTAATTGACCAATATGTTATGTACTATTTATTATTATATTCCACTCGTCAAATATTATCCAATAAAAATTTCCCAGTTGTCAGGGTGGTTTTTCTTCAATATTTTATATATTTTGCATTACCCGCTCGATTAATTAGCATGTCTTTAGATTCATATAAGGTAAATGTGACACCGAATTTAATTCTGTTTTATGCTACATATTACTACCAAGAAATTAATTTGCTGTATCAATCATCTACGGAAATCTAGGCCCGAGAACTGATAAAACCATTGATCTATTGTCGGCCAATCCATTCCTTAGTGGCTGAAATAAGTACAATTGTATTTATAACTATCACCCAAGCAAAAAACGGAGATAATGTTAATAGCCTCTCTACGGTTTGTGGACATGTAATTTTTGAATACTGATGATATGAGAATGTCATTGTGACATTAACGATGGTGCAAAAATGAAATTACACATGAAGAAAAAATAGGTGCCGTTTCGGTGGACGAAATCGTTAAGGCAGTAGGGCCGTAGCGATCTCGGACCGAAGGATCACGGGTTCATCCCCTATCGGTCTTTATCAGCTATCATCATCATATCATCACGGTATCATACCATAACGTTAAATTCAGCAGTGGTCGCTAATGACCTAGCTGTTGATGCGACCTAAAATAACATCAACACAAAAATTATTAGTTATTTTATTATCAAAACCTTTCTACAAAAATGATAAATATGTTGTAGTTTCGTGTTGGTCTCCAATCTGAACCGGTAATTGAATTGTAGTGCAATTTCCAAACGTTGATGAATTCCTATCTAGCCTTGCTTTACATAAGCTATCATCCCAACAGTACCCCCACCCCACGGAGCGTATCTGCGGTGGCGGCGCGGCGCAAGGCGGCGCTTGCCGCAGCCCTCGAGAGCAAACATTTGCGCAGCGCAGCGCGGCGGTGGCGCTAGGAGCGAGGACGGCTTGAAATACGGGCGGGCGTGCCCCCGCACAGAGCACGGTCCGCCCCGCCACCGCCCCCGCCCTTAGCCCCCGCCCCTGCACCCCGCCCCCCCCCCAAAAGTAGTGCAACCCAAACGCGACATGCACGACCGCTCATCGACACTCACCGCCACCCGCTCACGCCACTGCGCCGCGCCCGCCCCGCCAAGCGCCGCCCCGCCTCGCCTCCCGCTCCGCCACCGCAACGCCCCCTCCCCCCGCCCCCCCCCCTCCACCGCCCACCGCCAACTCCCGCCGCCAGCCCGCCCGCCGCCCGCCCCCGCCCCCCGAGACCATGTCTCTCTCGAGCGCCTTCTGCGCGAGTATTCATCACCTGCGTGGCGCCACGATCCGACTCCCTCGTTAACAGATCTCACGCGCACCTGAAGCACCCGTCTCCGCCCCGCACATCGCTCCGTATGACGTAAATCTCGAACAGGCGGGGCTAATGGCGGCCTGCAGAGGAGTCCCCGCCCCGACACCCTTCCTCCGCATCGCTCTCCTCCAGTACGCCACTCGTTCCGCGACTCCCCCCCGCCCCCCAGCCCCCGCTCCCGCCCCACCACTGCCCCCGCCCCTGCCCGCCCCTGCCACCGCCCCCCCCGGCCCCCGCCCCACGCCGACACCCCCCCACTCCGCTCCGCTCCCGCCCACGGCCCCGCCAGCCGCTGCCCCCGCCTCGCCCGCCCCACCGCCACGCCCGTCCCCGACCCGCCTCGGCCCCCGCCACCGCCACCCGCACCCCACCGCCACGCGCCACCCCGCCTCGCCCTGCTCCACGGTCCGCCGGCCCGCGAGCCACCGCCTCGCCCGGCCCCCGCCCGGACGACGAAACGTGCCGAACAACGGCGCGGGGCCTAATGGCGGCCGCCAGATGAGTCCCCGCCCGCCTTTTCCCCTCCGCCATCGCTCTCCCTCGCCGCCCTCCTGGCGCATTGCCCGGGGGGGGGGGGCCGCCCGGAAGAGCTGCTTCCAATAACTCGGCTGCTGGTGTGACCTGGTGAGGCGCTTTGGGGCGTCGTTCTGCGACACGGGGTACGGATGGATTGAGGATGAGTGCGACTTAAAGTATTCGTTTATCTTTTTGTAAGAGTCAAGAGATTTATTATATCAACAGGAGAGGTTGAAATTACCCCGTAAAAATGAAGGGAAAGGGAGTCCTGAGATTCATGTTGACAAGAATCGTAAAATCTCACTTTCAAGAGAGTATTCATTTTGTACCCTGCAATGACTATATAATATTCCAGTTTCGCCTCCTAAGGTAAATAATGAGACCATGTTAGTGATATTTATTATTATATTGAATGTACAGTTGCGGAAGTCGAAATATGAAGCCTATTGAAAATACTGAATTTATTTAATTTTATTTTATCGTATCTTTTAAAAACTATAAATCTTATTTGATATTTTAAAAATGTGCATAACTTAAGCAGCTTAGATTTGGAAATAAAAAACTTACTAACACAAAATTTAATATCAAACAGTACGACGGTTGTTTTCGGACTAGGAATATAAGAAAATTTAATGTTAATTTATGACTTCATTAAATTACTGTGTACGTATATTCCCGTTGTTCTGTCCAACTTTCATGACAGTGATACTCTTTTTCTAGTACCGTCTAGTGTGTGTCCCGTATATTGCCATAACATCTATATTTATTTACAACAGGGTTGCATTATTAAAACTTCACCGCAACACCCAATTTTATACGACAATTTCTTTCGTGACGAAGGTGTTCCTGTTTACATTACTACAATGTAACTTGACTCATTGTACATTTTTGTTTTTATTCTCAAAATGTTGTAACAAAATACATTGAATATACATTTTAGTTCTTAATTTTTTTACTTTTCAATATTTTAATGCAATTGGTAATATTTGTTCCATTTTCGATTTCCGTTTAAGTGGAATTTTGTTGGCAAAAGTTAGAGTGGAAAAGAGGTTGTTTCCTTTCCTCCCTCAACTTTTCGAGTTTCATTTAATTTACAGAATCAATCAAATCTTAAAAATGCATTAATTCAAAATGTTACACTTTTTTAAAACTTTTGTAATACAATGAAATATTAGAAATGTGGAAAAATATGAAAGCAAAAAAGGTCTTCCTTCTAAGTAAATTTTAGAACATGAAATAATCTTCCAAATGGTCTCTCGCAAGCAGTATATCAGACGCCAAGCTTTGGCGCCCCATAGAATTTTCTTCTTTGCGTGTGTATGTGGAAGTAGAGGGTGGCATGAATTCTTCCAGAACATGCAAAAATAATTAATGGGAATAATGTAATACGAACTAAGCAATAACACTTTAATATTTAATAGAATTACTACATTATGACCTTGTTTCCTCTCTACCTTCGACCTCAAGTTTTGTCCATGTGCAATGTCAATGTTGCAGGTATCTTTGCAGGTTGCAGTAAAATTTGCACTTATCATCT